CACACGTGTGCAACATTCATGCAACACACACACATCACTCACACACGTGTGCAACATTCATGCAACACACACACATCACTCACACACACTCACACACGTGTGTGCAATATGCATGCAGCCCACACACATCACTCACACACGTGTGTGCAATATTCATGCAGCACACACATCACTCACACACACTCACACACGTGTGCAACATTCATGCAACACACACACATCACACACACATCACTCACACACGTGTGCAACATTCATGCAACACACACACATCACTCACACACACTCACACACGTGTGCAACATTCATGCAACACACACACATCACTCACACACACTCACACACGTGTGTGCAATATTCATGCAGCCCACACACATCACTCACACACGTGTGCAACATTCATGCAACACACACACATCACTCGCACACACTCACACACGTGTGTAACATTCATGCAGCACACACACATCACTCACACACACTCACACACGTGTGTGCAATATTCATGCAGCACACACACATCACACACACACGTGTGTGCAATATTCATGCAACACACACACATCACTCACACACACACACGTAACTCTACTTTGCGCGTATACTACGGAGTATACGCGCGTGGATGTGTGGGCCCCTTTCCTACCTGTCAACCCCTTGTCAGACCAATTCAGACCATATCGGTCACCCACCACCCCCCGTGCCCCTTATAAACCTCATCGTTCATCCTACAAAAAGTCCCATCACAAGGGGGCAACACAAACAAAGACAATTTTGTTTTGACAATTAAATAAACCACTACCACACGTATAACTGTGGGTTTTTTGACACAATTAAGACGGCTGTACACCGTATGGACATGACAACTTTAATGTTCCTGGACAGTAACACGTATTAAACCGTATGGGTTGGCACGGCGTGTCACTTCTGCCAATCCACTGCTGGATGACCCCCACAGCAAGCCTTGGGAGGCTTGTAGGGCTCACATTTCACCATACCTCACCTTTAATGCCACAATGCCATGACAGTACCGAACATACGAGCAGCATAGGCTACACAACGCACACACAGCACTCGTGTAGGAGTATACAACACGAGGGCACACCACACATCAAGAGTTTACATCACGTACTGCATCACAGTCACATAAACTGTGTACAGTGTGTGCTGTACAGTAACTGCGGTGCTTAATTAAGCAATGTGCATACAGGACGTGTGTTGTGATTGCTACAGTGCTGCATACACTACACTAGTATTGCTGTAATGTTACTTTAGTAGACTGTACGGTGTTTTAAAAGTTACACAAAGTACACGCGCACTGTACCGTGTTTAGACGAAGTGCGAAGCCTAAATATAAAACTACCGACTTAGTACGATGCACGGCACACACTTAAACACAGCACTGTACACACATGGAGACACGATACACAGTGAAAGACTGTAGTACAATCATACACAAACACCACGTGTACACACACGTGTACACACACACACGTGTACTCACACACACACACGTGTACTCACACACACACACGTGTACTCACACACACACGTGTACTCACACACACACACGTGTACTCACACACACACACGTGTACTCACACACACACGTGTACTCACACACACACGTGTACTCGCACACACACACGTGTACTCGCACACACACACGTGTACTCACACACACACGTGTACACACACACACACGTGTACTCGCACACACACACGTGTACTCGCACACACACACGTGTACTCACAGACACACGTGTACTCACACACACACGTGTACTCACACACACACACGTGTACTCACACACACGTGTACTCACACACACACACGTGTACTCACACACACACACGTGTACTCACACACACACACGTGTACACACACACACGTGTACACACATACACGTGTACACACACACGTGTACTCACACACACACACGTGTACTCACAGACACACGTGTACTCACACACACACGTGTACACACACACACGTGTACTCACACAGACACACGTGTACTCACACAGACACACGTGTACTCACACACACACACGTGTACTCACACACACACGTGTACACACACACGTGTACACACACACGTGTACACACACACGTGTACTCACAGATACACGTGTGCACGAATCTTTATACTAAACCCTATGCACTCGGCGTGTACACCTGGTCCGTAGCCTGGCGACACGCACGCGGTGTGTAGTGATAGAGACCCACGTCGCGCACTGTAGGATACACGTGCGGAGTACGGTACAGTCGAAATAGAGACAAAGATCACCCGCATAGCCTTGGCAAGATTGGTGGGGCAAGTGCACAGTACTGTAGTAGTACACACACTCACTACAGTATATATAGACTGTCAGTGTGTATAGACTGTAGTACACACACTACAGTGTGTATAGACTGTCAGTGCGTGTAGACTGTAGTAGCACAAACACACTACACTGTGTGTATAGACTGTAGTAGTACACACAACTACAGTGTATAAACTGTAGTACACACACACGACAGTGTGTATAGACTGTAAGTGTATGTATATACTGTCAGTATGTGTATAGACTGTAGTACACACACTACAGTGTGTATAGACTGTCAGTGTGTGTAGACTGTAGTAGCACAAACACACTACACTGTGTGTATAGACTGTAGTAGTACACACACACTACAGTGTATAGACTGTAGTACACACACACGACAGTGTGTATAGACTGTAAGTGTATGTATATACTGTCAGTATGTGTATAGACTGTAGCACACACACACTACAGTGTTTGTACACGTGTAGTACACACACACTACAGTGTGTATAGACTGTCAGTGTGTGTATAGACTGTCAGTGTGTGTATAGACTGTAGTACACACACACTACAGTGTGAGTACACGTGTAGTACACACACACACTACAGTGTGTATAGACTGTCAGTGTGTGTATAGACTGTCAGTATGTGTATACACTGTAGCACACACACACTACAGTGTTTGTACACGTGTAGTACACACACACTACAGTGTGTATAGATTGTCAGTGTGTGTATAGACTGTCAGTGTGTGTATAGACTGTAGTACACACACACTACAGTGTGAGTACACGTGTAGTACACACACACACTACAGTGTGTATAGACTGTCAGTGTGTGTATAGACTGTCAGTATGTGTATAGACTGTAGCACACACACACTACAGTGTGAGTACACGTGTAGTACACACACACTACAGTGTGTATAGACTGTCAGTGTGTGTATAGACTGTCAGTATGTGTATAGACTGTAGTACACACACACTACAGTGTGAGTACACGTGTAGTACACACACACTACAGTGTGTATAGACTGTCAGTGTGTGTATAGACTGTCAGTATGTGTATAGACTGTAGTACACACACTACAGTGTGAGTACACGTGTAGTACACACACACTACAGTGTGTATAGACTGTCAGTGTGTGTATAGACTGTCAGTATGTATATAGACTGTAGTACACACACACTACAGTGTGAGTACACGTGTAGTACACACACACACTACAGTGTGTATAGACTGTCAGTGTGTGTATAGACTGTCAGTATGTTTATACACGTGTAGTACACTCACTACAGTATATATAGACTGTAGTAGTACGCACACTACAGTATGTGTGTAGACTGTAGTGCACACACACTACAGTATATATAGACTACAGTATATGTATAGACTGTCAGTGTGTGTGTACACGTGTAGTACATTCACACTACATTATATATAGACTGTAGTATTCACACTACAGTATATATAGACTGTAGTACACACACACTACAGTATGTGTAGTACACGTGTAGTACTCACACACACTACAGTATATATAGACTACAGTATATATGTAGACTACAGTGTGTGTATAGACTACAGTATATGTATAGACTGTCAGTGTGAGTGTACACGTGTAGTACTCACACACACTACAGTACTCATACACGTGTATACTCACACACTACAGTATATATAGACTGTAGTACTCACACACAACACGTGTGTGAGTACACGTGTCTACACACTACAGTATGTGTGTAGTACTACACGTGTAGTAGTATTCCACTCACGTGTGTACACACACTAGTGTATATAGACTACAGTATGTGTGTAGTACACGTGTAGTAGTACACACACAACATGTGCATGTGAGTGTGTACTACACGTGTAGTAGTATTCCACTCACGTGTGTACACACACTAGTGAATATAGACTACAGTATGTGTGTGTGTAGTACACGTGTAGTACACACACTACTGTATGTGTGTGTGTAGTAGTGACACGTGTAGTACACACTACAGTATGTGTGTGTGTAGTAGTGACACGTGTAGTATACACTACAGTATGTGTATGTGTAGTAGTGACACGTGTAGTACACACTACAGTATGTGTATGTAGTAGTAGTGACACGTGTAGTAGTATTTCACTCACGTGTATACACACACTACAGTATATATATATACACTACAGTGTATAGACTGTCAGTATGTCTGTGTGTGTAGTAGTAGTGACACGTGTAGTAGTACACACACACTACAGTATGTATGTGAGTGTGTGTAGTAGTAGTAGTGACACGTGTAGTACACACTACAGTATGTATGTGAGTGTGTGTAGTAGTGACACGTGTAGTAGTAGTAGTAGTGACACGTGTAGTAGTAGTAGTAGTGACACATGTAGTAGTGACACGTGCAGTAGTACACACACTACAGTATGTGTATGTGAGTGTGTACTACACGTGTAGTAGTAGTGACACGAGTAGTAGTGACACGTGCAGTAGTAGTAGTATTCCACTCACGTGTATACACACACTAGTGTAGTACACTACAGTATGTGAGTGTGTGTAGTAGTAGTAGTGACACGTGTAGTAGTGACACGTGTAGTAGTACACACACACTACAGTATGTGTATGTGAGTGTGTACTACACGTGTAGTAGTAGTGACACGTGTAGTAGTAGTGACACGTGCAGTAGTATTCCACTCACGTGTGTCTCCCCCCGACAGTCGCTGTCGCGGCCTCCGCTGCTTCCTCCGGGACAGGCGGAGTCCGCCGGGGCCGCCGGGCAGCGGCCAGACCACGGAGCGGACCTTCATGCGGGACGAACCCTGCCCCGCTCCCCCCCCCACTACCACTCGTTCCTCCTCTTCTCTTCTCGCAACTCGAACTCCGCAATGTGCCCCCAATCTCACACTGTGCGTGTGTCTCTGTTGGCTCTCCACTCCACTCTCCCAGCTCTCTCTCTCTCACACACACCGAGTTGCCTTCTCCCTCCCCTCTCTCTACATCATCACCACCCTCTCTCTCTGTGTCTCTGTGTGTGTGTGTCTCTGTGTGTGTGTCTCTGTGTGTCTCTCTACTCTCTCTCTCTACTCACAGGTCACCTGTCTTAACTCCCTTTACAATTCTTTCTCTCGCTTCTCCCTCCCCTCGCTGTCTCCTCCTCGAAAGCTGCCCCCGCCGGCTTCTCCCTTTCACGTCTCAGCACCACCACCAACACACCAACACACCACCACCAACACACCAACACACCACCACCAACACACCAACACACCACCACCAACACACCACCACCAACACACCAACACACCACCACCAACACCACCACCCCCACTCCGCTCGCCTCTCCGCTCGCCATGCACCTCCCCGACTGCCGGCCTGCTCACAGCTGATCGCCTCTGGGGGGCGGGGGGTGGGGGGCGGGGCGGGGGGTGGGGGGGCGGGGCGGGGGGTGGGGGGGCGGGGCGGGGGTGGGGGCCACGGAGCGCGTGGGGGTCTGCGGTCGTGGGGAGGGGGGTGGGCAGCGAGGGGGGGGGCAGAGAGGCGAGTGGGGTGGGTGGGACGGTGGGTGTCGTGGGGGTGGGGTGCTCGCTAATAGCACTTGCCCCAACAGCCTGTTGAGGCCCTACGGGGGGTCTTTGTCTTTGTAATAGCGAGTTGAGAGTGAGTCTGACTTGTACGTGCAGAGAGGGGTCAGTGGAGAGTGTTGGTGGTGTGTGGTGGTGTGTGGTGGTGTGTGTGGTGGTGGTGGAGGTGTGTGTGGTGGTGTGTGTGGTGTGTGTGGTGGAGTGTGGTGGTGTGTGTGGTGGTGGTGGTGGTGATGGTGGTTGTGGTGGTGTGTGGTGGTGGTGGAGGTGTGTGTGGTGGTGGTTGTGGTGGTGTGTGGTGATGGTGGTTGTGGTGGTGTGTGGTGGTGGTGGAGGTGTGTGTGGTGGTGGAGGAAGGACGGAGGGTTCGTGGGCGGATGAGTGGTTGGCAGAGTTAGTGAGTGGATGAGTGAGGGTGTGTGTGGATGAGAGGGAGTGTGGATGGATGGTGCGAGAGTGTGGGTAGATGGATGGATGGGAGAGTGAGTGGATGGGTGAGGGTGTGTGTGGATGAGAGGGAGTGTGGGTGGATGAGAGGGAGTGTGGGTGGATGGATTGGAGGGTGAGTGTATGGATGGGAGGGTGAGTGGATGGGAGGTTGTCTGAGTGGATGAGAGGGAGTGTGAGTGGGTGGATGAGGGTGAGTGTGGGTGGATGAGGGTGAGTGGGTGGATGAGGGTGAGTGTGGGTGGATGTGAGGGTGAGCGTGGTGTGTGTGCTACGAGGCTGCCCTGTGTGTGTGTGTGCTCGTTGTTCGTCGCTGGGAGTTGGGAGATTGATGTTGGGGGAGGGGGGGACAAGAGCAGAGGCGTGTCTGGGTCTGTGTCTGGGAGGCTGTGTGGGGTGGAGTTCAATGTCGCGTGTGGTTCGGCGTGTGGCTGTGTGTGTGTGTTTGTGCTTTGAGCCCGGCGACCCGAGTTTGATTCCCGCTCACGGTCAACACCAGTGACGATTATCTGTATTGGTGCTGGGCCTCTCCTAGGTCGACTCAGCCTCAAATGAGTACCCGGTGCGGTGTTGTAAACATCGCCACTGGCGAGACAAAGGCGGCCGGGCGTGGTGCTGGCCACCCACCCCTCGTGTGCCGTACCGGCCTTTATAGGTGCTCGCAAACAGCACTTGCCCCATCAGTCTGTTAAGGCTACACGGGGGATCTTTGTCTTTTGGTTGGGTTTATGTGCGTGATTGGGTGTACGTGTGGTAGTGGTTTATTTAGGATGTGGTTGTATAACTGTGTGATTGAACATCACATTTCGGCCACAATAAGTCTCCAAACTGATTTTCAGGGGTATCCTGCATCGAGATGTGTGGCCAGTCCTTGTTAAATTAATGTTTATCTCTCATACCACCACACTCACCACCTCCACCATCACCTCCACCATCACCTCCACCATCACCTCCACCATCACCTCCACCATCACATTCACCCTCATGACCACGAGAAAATACCATAACCACCATCACCACCATCACCACCATCACCGTCACCAAAGACAAAGATCCCCCGTATAGCCTTAACAGACTGTTGGGGCAAGTGTTGTTAGCGAGCACCTATTAAGGCCAGAACCGTACACGAGGGGGTGGGTGGCCAGCACCACACCCGACCGCCTTTGTCTCCCTAGTGGCGATGTTTACACACCGCACCAGGTACTCAGCTGAGGCTGAGTCGACCTAGGGGAGGTCCAGTACCGGTTCAAATAATCGTCACTGGTATTGACCGTGAGTGGGAATCGAACTCGGGTCGCCGGGCTCAAAGCCGCAGCGCGCTAACCACTACACCACCGCTCCCCACAAAATACCACATCCACCATCACCACCATCGTCACCACCATCACCATACTCAGCAGCACCATCACCACACCCAATCCACATGAACACAGCACAATTCCCCCCTTCACCCACCCCCATCATCAGTAGACCCTAACCCCCACCCTCCCGCCTGCCCTCCCACTACTACCCCCTCCACCCCCACAAGATCTCACCCCCCCCCCACCCCCTTGCGCTGCTGCAGGAGGCGTAAATTGCCCCGGGATTTGGCTGTGGGAGCAGCCACCGCGTGTCCGCACGCTCTGCAGCATTAATGAATTATAATCACAAGCACGAGCAGGAGGAACAACAGCACACGCGCCGCCAAGCCAGTCCACTGCGCGAGCCTCAATTGTTCGATGTACAGGGTGGTCCAGATGTCTTGTGACCCCCCCCCACCCGCCGAATTAATTGGCCCCGAACATTTTTTTTCCTTTGCATATTAATTTCTGTTTTAAATCAATCTCGTTTTTTTTAATACAAAGTTTGAGAGAAATAAATGGATAAATGGGGGGGGGGGGGGTCACAAGACATCTGGACAGTCTTGTACATGACTTTTGTTTTTGTGTGAGTGAAAAAACATCAACTTCCCATGGACAACAGACCTTAAGAATGGTGTTGTTGCGGTTATAATCTGCCTCCTTTGAGCTTCGGGAATTAACACTGACCCTCAGAATAACGAGAGTGCTGTGAAATGGAAAGGCGCAGCCCCTGTAAGGGCTTGTTCACGGCACTGCTGGTGGAAGGGCCTCCACTATGTGTGTACTGTAGTTGAACTTCTTTCGCGTCGTACGTAGCCAACCTATCTACGTGACTTTACCGAAAGACCCAAAGAATATGAATTCCCGCCGTCACGAAAGCTTTAAGTCAAGACAAAAAAGCAGTTTTAAAGAAATGCGTTTTCAGTCTAAAGGCAGAGCTGTAGGGTTTGTTTTTCTTCCACGCTGGTCAGACGCATTGGAAGAGGTGGGAATATGCGCACAATATCCCACCACACGCCACATCGATCGGTTAACTCTGGCGTTGCCCATTCATATTGCTTCCGTGGACAGAGGCGGAGGGATTTGAGAAACACGCTCATTGTGCCCAGCTTCTGGCGCCCGTGGCTCCCACACATCTGCACCGTCTTTGTTGTCGATTCGCGCGTGTTAATGTCACCGTAAGACTAAAACGTAGAGCTTGCACGCACACTGGACCTCACTTTTTCGGATTATATTTGCACCGTGTTTTGACTCGCGTGTGCAGGGACATTCATATGGGAGTGTGGCACCTGGGCAACCCCCCCCCCCCCCGACGCCTTCAAACTAAGCCGAAAGTGTTTCATCTGACACCGTGACGCCGAAGCACGCCCACCCCACCACCCCCCAAGCGAGGGGCCCAGGGCGGTCGCCCCGAATCGCCGTGTAACCTGGGGACGGCTCTGCGAGTGCGTTTCGTTTACGAACATTAAATGCCTCGTTTGTTAGCTGTACAATATTCCTGAAGGACCCTGTACTGTCATCGCTGCTGCTGTGTTCACGCACAAGGGATCTCCCGTGTAAAGTAGCCGAGCAACTGGCTGAACGGGATCATCCGTGTAGCGAATAAAAATGTACTTTCGCATTGTTACTGCCGTGCCAGGACGTATCCCGGCAGCCTCTGGATTGCAAGTTCAGCGCGTGTGCTTACAACCATTACAACCACGGCAGGCCCTTCATATTGTTTTCTGTAGGAGGTTGAAAAAAACCCCACACACTTCCCCATTGAGTCCTGGATATGAATAACGAACCCTTCGGACTGTGATGGGGCCATAATCTGACCCTTTAAGCGCCGGGCATTGATGCTGACCCTGATGATGATGATAATTATTACGCAAGTGCTGTGAAAGATAGGCACGTGTAATACTGAACCCTAAAAGAATCCAGATTATGTCATAGTCTGGCTCTCCGAGGCTGGGCCATTATAATGCAGATTGATGTGTGGCTACGCTTCTGCGAGCTCAGTGCAGTGCGCTATGAAGCAGAGAGCATCTGCGGTTGGAGCGACTCTCGTCCGCGGGCTAACATCATTGGCAACTGATGTATACATTGGTTCTGGGACCACCTTCACTAAACCGCACTGACCGGCGTACTCAAGTGTGGTCAAACAATCCTCACGGCCGACATGGGCGTGGGGAAGCATGTATTATGAAGGAGGGTCTTTGCCCGAAACGTCGCCTATTTTTTGTTTAAGGCCACACGCAGTGCTGCTAGTGACTAATGTGTTGAGTTGTGTTGCTTGCGTGCTTTGTGCAACATTGCCAACACAGCAGTGGACTGACCAATAGCTGTTATTTTATTTTAATATTTTGTGAGCAAATTCAAATTTCAACACGAACCACGATCGTTACATATGACGGCACACATTGGGGGAGTGTGGCTAGCACCACGCCCGGCCGCCTTTGTCTCGCCGGAATGCTTATGATTATCTGTACATTTAACACGCGACCAATATTCATTTAACGCGATCGAACCCAAAAAAAGTTATCGTAAATTATCTGTAAATACCAGGACGGCTGCTTGTGTTGTGGCCGAAACGTCGTGGGAATTTTATTGTTTATGTTATATTATTTTATTATTTCCCTTCTACGTGACTTTACCGAAAGATCCAAGAATATGAATCCCTGCAGTCACGAAAGCTTTAAATCGAAATTTATACCAGTTCTCATTTAAGGTTGAGTCGACCTAAGGGAGGCTCAAATTTAGCGTCAGACACCACTTGCCACCGATGACTAGGACTCGAACTTTGGTTTGCCAGTGCACTGTGTACGTTGTTGGCAGCGGAGGGTAGTGGCACCAAAATGCATTGTTGTACTGCACTATCGTTGCTCCCCCCCACCCCCACCTTCACGAACCCGCACTCATCAGCGCGAAGCGTGGTCAAATATTCCTCAATCCGTACGGCGTGGGGAGGCCC